ACAACCGCAAAAGGAGTTTCAACCCTGTTTTACAAAGCAAGGTCAGAATGCAAAATGAAAGTCACAGAAAAAACAGGGGGAAACGTCACATTGAGCAGTTCCATAACAGTCTATGATGCCTTTTAGTTATTTTCAGTGCTCTCTATTAGAACCTGTGAGGGGAAAAAAGAAACGTGTAAATAAGAGACAATAGCAGAATAGAAAAGCTGAAAGTTACCCTTTATGGCAGCTGATAGCTGATGCAGCTAATTCCTGTGACAAATATATGAAGTCTTTATAACATGTGGTGAATGTCAAGGATTTCTTACATAAGTGATCCAAGTGTCAAAATGTATTTAAGTGATGATATCTATTTACAATTCCACATTACATTAAAATAATGATTAAATGTTATAGAAGGGTGCATAAATGTGTCTTTGTGCATCTCAATAATCTCATTTCAATTTTCCTTTACTTATCTTTTGATCTTTTGAATGTAATATCCACCTGGAAATCTATATAATCTCTATATACTGTCGATTCTGATCTTATATAAGTATTTTTTCAATATGAATTGTCTATAATACACAGGCAACTATTTACACATACAGTCACTCAAAAATAAAATCCAGTGAAAGAGAAATCAAACCTTACTTACAATGATGGTAAAACTGGTCTAACGTTCAAGCGTTTGTCTTCAGTCATTTGGAATATATTAAGATATTAAAACTGGAAAGACAGTAGGATTAATTCACACACAGACAAAATCACCACTCATCATGCTACCTTAGCATTGGCTACATCAGTATAAGCAATTCAAGGTCAGTAATTAAATGACCAGTTAAATATAAAATTTGCTTGGGCATCTGCGGCAAAAGGAAATCCTTGGAAAAATTGGTGAGTTTCTTAAAATTGGTGAGAGAAATTCTGTGACTTCTGTTATTGTTTTGAGGTGGGAAACAGCAGGTCAAGGGTTTATATATCTTTTTATAAAGCTTTGAACATTCTTAACAGCACACTGGTTTCAATCATGGGAGAAAAAAGGAAGAAGTATAGAATCAACGAAAACACAAACAAACAAACAAAAAAACAAACAAACCATCAAACAAGAGATTATCGGTCAGAAAGGTGACCAGCAGCGTAATGGTCTCTCTAACTGAATTCCCCTGTACAGTTTAGACAACCTGCCGTATGTTAAAAGCACTTTATAAGCCGGACCAATAGAGCCTTGGGACTAGTGCAGTGGACAGTAGCCACTTTAAGTAACCAGTACATAACAGTCATACTGGAAGTTGTAAAACTTAATCTGGATCTGAATCTAGAAGCGTTTAAAAGAAATTACCTTTGTGATGCCATTCCTCTGGAGAAGCATGCTGGTAGCAGTGTCATGCACTTATCAGTGGCAGGAAAATGGAAGCTTGTCAGAATTAAAGGGAAAATGAATACAGCCAAAAATAACGGATAACTGAGAGTTCTGGGAATGTGTCCACTGTCACGTTATGGCTGTGTGGCAAGCAGGAATTGGAACCAAACACAAACTCACGGGAACGGAACTTAAACTCAAAAGCACTAGTGATGTGACGTTCTGTATCGAGGCTTCGAAGCTTGTGTCGAGTAATGGAGGGGGCGTTTCCGCGATGCGCGTATCGAGGCTTGCTTCATTTATGGGAGGAGCTGAAAATGATGACGTCCGAAGCCTCGCTGCCTGGCTGTACCACATGACTGGTTTATGAAGTGGTTCGAACTTTGCCGCGAGATATGACAGCGATACAAACCCCTCAGACTTCATTCAAAAATGTAGGTGTTTGATGGAGAGTTGCGGTTAGTGAGAGTTTGGAGAGAGTTTGGAGGTTTATGAGAGTGAGGAGAGAAAGTCAGGAGAGAATGGAGGCAGCTAAGAAGAGGAGGATGTCCTCCCCTGTGTGGGAACATTTTGATCTTATTCCTCCCAACAAGGTATGTAAATTTCTACAGAAGATGTATTTTCATAATACTGATGGTGCGATACAATTTATGTTAAGCTGTCTTTACTTTTGTACAAGGTGAAGTGTTTGCTATGTGCCAGGGAGCTGGGATATAACAACAACACCTCATCCATGCTTAGGCACTACAGAGCTTTGCATGAGAATAAGGGGAACACTGATTGTGGAGCAAGACCAGGTGAGCCATCAAATGCCATGATAATATAGCATGCAGTAATGTTACTAAATGAAACAATATTATACAACTGTAATAAGTTACGTGTGTGGTTATTTATATCTGTGCTTTGTCTTTATTGTCTTTCCTCAGGAGAACAATCTCAAATAGATGAAAACCTGGTTAGCATGGTGATTGAGGACTCCCAGCCATTTAGCATTGTGGAGGACAAAGGATTTAAAACATTTGTTAAATCATTAAATCCTAGCTATGTTCTCCCCACTAAAAAGGTCATAAAAGCAGTGAAAATTTAGTTTTTACAGAATAAAATGTGAACAGGCAGGACTGACGCCTCAGTGTGTAGCTGTCCATACCTCAACGTTACAAAAGCACAACTACTGTCCACACCCCAACCACACCTCACCTCACAGTAAATGATCATTTCCATTTTAAGCATTTCCAAATGATCATTTTCCATACTGCCAGTATAAATATACACAGTATACTGCCATCAATACAATATACATGTTTTACACACTCCTTTTGTTGTTGACATTTACAGGCTGTGTGCAAAAGGCCACACTCTTCAAATTCATGCCAACTAATATTTTTACGTCCAGTAGATGTCCTACTAGAGCAAATGAAGCTTCAAGAAGTTTTGCGCTGGGGTGAACCAATTGGATGAAAAGCTTCAGTGCTTCATGAAGCTTCATCTGCCCATCACTAAAAAGCACACCTTTATTGCTGGGAAACAGGCAATATAAACAATACAAAATTAAACTGGGAAAAACTAATTATAATATGCACTAGGAGACACGGGGAGAATCACACACAGCTATGAGGGAGGACGCGACAGAAATGAGGGAGACGCAGACATGAATACACAGAAGGATAACAAGGGATGTGGGAGCAAACGGGGAACACAGGTGACACTGATAATCTTATCAAGACAGGGCAGGAGAAAACACGACAGGACGTACACTGATGGGAGACTATCAAAGTAAAACAGGAAGTACGCAGAGGGGGAGAGAGAACATGAGGAGAGCACAGACATAACGGGCTGGGGAAAAAATGGAAATTAAACACAAGGAGGAGAAACTAGTCAAGGGAACTCACAGATACAAGGAGAGGACACAGGGGCGAGAACCTACTAAATAGTCAGAACACTAAAAAGAAAATGCAAAAATCTAAAGTAGGACACTAGACTCTATAGAATTTTTCAGTGTCACTTTGAGACCAGATGTTTCTAATTTTAGTGATATTAGGCAAATGGAAGAAAGTAGTCCTACATATTTGTTTAATTGTGGCAAAATCCATTCACATTTAGGTAAAGATATATATTTTTAAATGAAAATTTGAACATTATCTAAATTCTTTTCACACTGTAAAATCTAATAATGTGTTTAACTAAAAATATCAAGTAGACTGAGTTTTTATCAACTTGTTTTTAGAACTCAGTTTAAGTAAGTTACTAGTACTTTTCATTCAAAAAGCTGATCAGCTCTGGTCATTTGAGTTGTCTTAAATTTAAAAAAAAAAAAAAAGTAAGTAAGATGGAGATTTTACTACTCAGTGTGGAAGGATAAAACTATATGGTTTGAAATGCCACGTCACTACCTCCCTCCTCCCTCACACAGATCAGTCCACATGTTTATGGCACTCAGGTTTTTTTCTGGAATATGTTGAGAAAAGCTGGAGAAGCTTTATATAAGATTATATAATATACAGACAACAGCCTGCACACCAACTTTATAAACAAAGTATTATGTTGGTTGTCTTTTCTTCTGCCTCTCTGCTTTCACTTAAAATCAGCTGACTACCTGAAATCAATGGTGATATTATATGACTACATATATTTGTCATGATTTTACATCTTACATCTTTTCTGGTGGGTTAAATTATCTCTACATTTTTTTCACAAATCCAGACTTTTTTACTGTCACATGGTACATCATTCCAGGACTTTTCTCTTATATAGAAATACTGAGACACTTTTGTCTTTGTGTCTCAGAAACAGATTTTGCTCCTATATACTGTACCTGTTCCTCTCTGCTGATGATAATCACCAGGTCTGCCCCTCTCTGCAGACAGTCCTCTCTGCTGTCATTCCAGGTGTTTTCAATAGATGAAACGTAATATAAACTGTGTTTGAAGTATATCCATCCTCGTTGGATATAGCGAACCTCCTTATCTTTCTTTCTTCCGTTTTTGATAGCATCTGCAGTTTTAAGCACACAGCTTCCTGCTTTGCTGTACTTCTATCTTAAGTTATGGTTTGTTAGTTGAGACAGTTTTTGTCATGGTCCCTGGTTCCTCTATGCAAGAGGTTTCAAACTCATTTTATCTTAGGGGCCACATTGAGGAAAATATATTCCCAAGTTTAAACTTTTAATAAAAACCATGTAATGTCCGAGTTGCACCACATAAGAATATGGCAGAAAATTGTCAAATTAATTTACAGTGAGTTTATGTTTTCTGGCTTCTGCAAGGCTTAAATCAGAGTATTTCCAGCTGCGAGAATGAGTTCATTTGTAAAAACAGTTTTTGACATGGCTACACTGTATAAACATACTTCATAGTATTTTAGTTGGGGGACCAGGGTCCCCTGTATGTCAATCCTGCGTCCACTGAATATGTACTTGCCAGGGTGGCTTTGCAGTCAAAAACAAATCACACACCTGCTATCAGCAGTTCTTCTCTATAATCTGTGCACTTGGTATTTAACTGGGTTAAGATTTAGTGGCCTGGAAAGTAGGCCCCAAAGATCTGTTAATTGTTAAGTCCTGATTAACCTGTATGAACACTTGAGTGAGATATAACAATACACAGATCTTTACTTTTACTGTTTCACAAAGGGCTTAAAGGGGAACATTCACATTTTAGACTTTTTTAATGCAGGATATTTTATTAAAACTATTTAGCAGGAACAAAGCAAAACTGTAACCCACATGTTTCACATGTCTTTTTCACAGAGCCAAAAGTTTAGGTTTTCACATGCAGCATCATTCCAGTTGTTTTCATAATCATAGTAGTGATTTATTACTACACAATCTTCATTTCTGCGTTTAAAATTGTTGGGTTCCCCAGAGTACCAGAAGCTGAAAGATAAAGAGGACAAAATCGCAACACAAACACGTGCAAATTAGAAACAACTTAAAATCAACAAGTTCATGATATTTACAATCTAAACATGTAAATAGAGGAATTATTTAATTTGATAAATTTTTAAAGTGGAAACCTTGCCGTCAATGGAGTCTCATCCACCCATTTCCAAACTCCTTCTGTCTCTCTGTCAGTCAGTCCAATCCACATTACCTTCTGCTGCAGCCTTATGAATTCCTTACACATAAACATAAACATGCAGCAATCAACCATTGAAATGATGTCACACACATTTTTGTTTTACTTAAATGTTTCACTCTGTTATCTAATTATATCATAAATGAACATACCTGTTCTTCTGTGTTGCTGATGATCGCCAAGACTGCGCCTCTCTGCAAACAGTCATCTCTACTGTCTTGCCAAGTTTTCGTGATTGAAGAAATATAATAGAAACTGCTGTTGAAATACAGCCAACCTTGTTGCGCATAGTGAGCTTTCATGAGAAGAAAGAATGAACTGTAGTTACAGTATTGTACAAACCTAAATAACACCTGTGAAATAAGTGTCAAATGTTAAAAGATACAACATAGTTTTCATTTGAATGTGTTTGTTTGGTATTGTGTATATAGTGTATAGTGCTGTGAATGGGTATATCCCCTGTCATGTGTTGTTGTTTGAGCTGGTTATTTGTGGAACCAAAATGCAGAGACACAGAAGGAAGGAGTAAACTTAAAATGAACATTTATTGATGAAAGCCCAAACTACACAAGATCAAAAGCACTAGAAGATACCTGGAGGAGGGAGGTAAAGAGCTAGTGTACACACAGATGTGAGAGCTGAGGGATGGTGCCACAATAGACAGAGGGAGACAGACACAATATATCTTCCTGATAACGAGGGGATAGGTGGCACAACTGACATAATGAGATGGGGAAGTAAACACAACACAACACGTAGAAACAACAGAAGTGGGAAAATAAAATGAACCTGACACAGAGGGAAGATAGGAGGGAAACCAGGGAACATAGAAAGATGAAATACAAAAACAGACGTGACTTAGAAGAACAGAAACTAAACAAAACCCAACAGTGATGTCAGCAATGACTAAAACGATTCAGAAAATTCTGCATAAGGCAGTACAGTAAGGAAATCATAAAGAGCATTTTCACCTATACCCAATAACTGGTTGTGCAATCCTGGCAGCAAGAAAACGATATGATCATGTTATGAGTATGAGTATGAGTTTCATGCTCACACTTACCAAAGTCCTCTAGCTTCCTCTTCAACTCCTCTCTCTCTTTTGTCAGGAAATTCAGCTGTGAAGCTGCCATAAGATAAGAGAGACGAGCTGTTACATACATTGCCAGTTTTCTGATAACTAATGGAAACACGTGTATTCACCAATATAATCGAGTTGCCTCTCCTGCTCTTCTCGCTCCTTATTCATAGAATCCTGCAAAGCTGATATTTTTAGAGAGCTTACCAACACTTGAAACATAAGCAGAGCATGATAAAAACATAATTTTAAACTGAATGTATTGCATAAATGTATGAAAGTATACACTACCAGGTAAAAGTTTGGGCACATCTTCTCATGTAATGGTTTTTCTGTATTTTCATGAATATTTACATTGTAGTCTCACTGAAGGCATCAAAATTATGAATGAACACATATGGAATTATGTAGTAAACAAAAAGGGTTAAATAACTCAAAATGTGTTATATATTTTTGATTTTTCAAAATAGCCACCCTTTGCTTTGATAACTTGCACACTCTTGGCATTCTCTCGATGAGCTTCATGTGGTAGTCACCTGAAATGGTTTTCCAACAGAGTTACCAAAGATGCTGAGCACTTGTTGGCCCCTTTGCCTTCACTCTGCGGTCCATCTCTTCGACTGGGTTCAGATCAGGTGACTGTGGAGGCCAGGCCATCTGGGGCAGCACTCCATCACTCTCCTTCTTGGTCAAATAGCCCTTACACAGCCTGGAGGTGTGCTTGGGGTCATTGTCCTGTTGAAAAATAAATGCTGGTCCGACTAAACGCAAAGTGTATGGTATGGTATTGTGACTGCACTTGGGGACACATTCAAAGTTTTAACAAATTAATAACTGACTTATTTTCAGTTCTTAAAGTAATGATGGACTGTCGATTCTCTTTACTTAGCTGATTGGTCCTTGCTATAGCATGAATTCTAATAGGCTGTCAGTTGTGTACCAAACTGACTTCTGCACAAGATAACTGATGGTCGCAACCCCATTAAGAAGGTAAGAAATTCCACAAATGAACCCAAACAAGGCACACCTGTGAAGTGAAAACTATTTCAGGTGATCATAAAGCTAAGTAAGAGAAGGCCAAGGGTTAGCAGCACTGTCAACAAAGCAAAGGGTGGCTTCTTTCAGCAATCTAAAACTTACATCAAGTTCTTTATCATTTTTTTTCTTGCCTACATTCTTCCATATATCTTGCTTCATATATTTGATATCTTCAGTATGTATCTACAATCTAATCTTCCTCTTCACATTAGTCAATCAACATCAGTGCTGGTTTTTAAATTCAGATTAAAAACGCATTTTTATTCACTGGCTTTTGACTCTGACTTGTATTTACTTATATTTTATTGTTTTTACAATGTTTATTATTTTATTGTATTTATTATTCCTATTGTATCTCTTATATTTCTGTTATTCAGCACTTTGGTAAGCCTTGCGCGTTTTTAAGGTGATATATACATAAACTATGATGACGACGACAATGTAGAAAGTAGTAAAAATAAAGACAAACCATTAAATGAGAAGGTGTGTCCAAACTTTTGATTGGTAGTGTATATAGTTCGTGCTTATTTGCACACTGTAAAATTTTATCCATATTTCTGGCAGCTTTATTGAATTATTATGTGGCATTTATAAAACCTGACAAATTATGTGTGCACAATATTTAATAAGCATTTATTTGTGACTATTAGAGGGCTTTTATCCCCATGATGTTTACCAAAGTTGATCTTCTTCAAACTGTCTTCTACATTAGTTCGATTTTCACAGGTAACATCAGTACCTAGTGTAGAGATTAGCAAAATATCAGATTATGACCACCCAACACAACATTTTTCTTTAAAACTATTCTTTTAAATAACCGTAACAATAAACTAGCTTAGGGACATCATGCATCATTTATACATAAGATGGCAACAGTGGTGATAGACCATTCTGTTGTCTGTTTCCACAATAACAACATTTATTAACATGAGTATTTAAGTTATAATTAAAGCCATCTTACGCAGAGCCAGACGCAGGGAAACATTGAGAGCAGCCTGTAGGATACATAAGAGACAAAAGCTCCCAGCAATCCATTTATGCAGCTTTCCTCCTGTAAAGGACCACACACACACACACACACACACACACACACACACACACACACACACACACACACAAACATTCATTACACACACTAAAAAGTGTAAAAAAAACCCACTAAAATTTCATTTGTGTCTTACCTGACACAGATGCAGCAGCTTCAACGCTTTCATCAGTGATCCGGTTCAAGCCAACACTCCTGGCTGGAGAGCTGAGGGTTCTAATATCCGGAACCATACCAGATTCATCTCTATGGCCTTTCATGTTTAACAGAAATTGATGTGACCTTGCACAACCGTTAGTCACTGTGCATTGTTTTTCAAGTTGCTTACACAGGAAAATACTTTCTTCCTCATTTGTCTTTTTTTTTTTTCAAGAAATGTCATCACACTTTTAACCTCATTTGGACAGGAAGGAAGAGACGCATATAAAAGTGTCTAGCAAGCAGCAGATGTCCTGTCTTTTTGTTTTTTCATTTTTATTGTTTGTTTTTTTAAAATCAGTACTTTATCAAAATGACACTTTACCATCCACACCCTTTACTTCTGTCACACATTCTATTATCAGAACATTATTTCTTTATCTGTTGTACTTACTCAAAAGAAAAATATTTGTTTTTTCATGTTTGTCTCTTAAGGCTGTGTTACTGCCTGTCTGGTTAGTTTGATTATAACTACATTTATTTTAAAACAGTTATGTGAACAGAAGAAACAAAGATATTTCTATATATCTATTTGCATCTTATAATTTGCCTGAATTTTTATAATGGAGACCTTTATTTGGTTCATTATTATCTTTAACCTTAAAAGTTACTCTAGACACTGTTATCCACACAGCAAGCGGCGCTACAAACTGGTTAATACTTCACTTCACCAAAAGCACAAAATTGGTATGCTGTTACAGAATGCAAATTTTAAAAAAATCAATGAATCATAACACATTCATAGTGTAAGAAACCTCCAGAGCATTATGTTAGGTTTTGTAAGTTTTGTCATCAGTTAATTTGTCATTCTAAATGTTCGGCTCCTCAGTTTATTCTTCAGAGTTTATTCTTAATATATATATTTCTTAACAAGCTTAAATTAAAACTTAGTTTGAAGTACAACTCTCCATCAGAGGTGCCTGAACATTTTAATTAAGATTTCCAGTAATTATTTTCCCAAGCATGACCAATAATTTCTGAATTATGAGGTTTATTTGCAGCAAAGGAGGGAAGTAATGAAGTACAAATACTTTTAATACTGTACTTAAGTAGAATTTTTAGTAATCTATTCAACTTTTTACTTTTATTCCCTTGTTAAAGAAATATGAGAACTTTTTACTGCCTACATTTTCAAAACAGGCTGGTATGTAGCATAAAAGAGAAGGAGGAGCCAAACCCATTTACCATAGTCAGAGTCAAAGTAGACTGGAACGAGTGCACATGTCTGTAAGTTATAGTTGCGTACTTCATCAACTATCTAGCACTACAGAAGAGGAGCGAGAAAAGCAAGTAATTTCAAATGCAACATTTATATCCAATCAACAAACATTGGTGAACACAGTTTCTGTTTACAGTTTGTTACACAGTGTGTTGCTTGCTAAAAGTACAGCTGCTGTATTTCACAGGGAGAGAAATAAAAGTTAACTTCACTCAGTGATGGAGAAAGATAAAGACAGTGTAGGAGAGGAGGAAGAGATTAGATTTAACCTCTGCTAAGTGGTATGTGTTTGTATTGTGTTCAGGAAGTGGGGACAGTAGAAGGAAGTTTGACTTTAAGCATCAGTTTGCTAGGACCACACAAAGACAAATGTGTCCTACAGTTAAGGGTATAAGAATATGGAATTCTCTTCAAGATAATCTCAAGAGGTGTACAAACATGCACCGTTTTAAAATGTGTTATATACTTAAAAGGATAAATCAATATGAAGAACATGAAAGTAATTTGGGCTAAATGTGGAAGGAAAAATTTTCATTGCCATTTAGTGCTGTATATTGCTGATTATACAGATTTGTTGTTTAGTTTTGCATTGTTACATAAAAATACACGTTAGAGGGATTTTTGGGGGTTACTGGCGTCCTCTTGTAAGAATAATTGGATTGCACATAAGGGGCAGGTGCTAACAAGAATTTATTCTTCTTCCTGCTCCTTTTCACCCATGGGTGCAGTGTTATATTAATGGGAAGGAGGATCTGTATGTGGGAAACGAAACACTGTTGAACCATGTGTGAAATAAATAAAGAAATTAAATGAAATGAAATAAACTGGAAATTTAAATCTTACATCTAAGTGCTCATAAAGCTGCTGCGAAACCAACTGAGGTAGGCTAATGTGTCATTTAAAGGTTTCATGAAAATGCACCATAGTTCAGGATAATCTAGTTAGCTTGCATTAATATGATGAATTTAAAATAAAGCATTGTGTTTGAGTGGTGCACAGTGGATGGTGTGCTCATGGTCAGAGTTAGGTTACATTAAGTATAGCAGAGATGAATTTGAAGTGAAACTACAGAAGTTAAAATAATGCTAAGATTAATTCACCTTCATACTGTTTAGTATAATGACACCATAAACAGTAGTGCCAGTCAAACTCACCCAACAGAAAATATAGCTACACTCAACAAAAATATAAACGCAACACCTTTGTTACTGCTCCCATTCCCCATGGGATGGACGTAGAGACCTAAAATTCATTCCAGATACACAATATAACCATCCCTCCCAAACAGTGGTCACAAATCAGTCCAAATGTGTGGTAGTGGGCACATCTGCCATATTGAGATAATCCATCCCACCTCACAGGTGTGCCACATCAGGATGCTGATCTGACATCATGAGTAGTGCACAGGTGTACCTCAGACTGCCCACAACAAAAGGCCACCCTGGAATGTGCAGTTTTTTGCGCTATTGGGGGTCTGGGGACCCAGAACCGGTCAGTATCTGGTGTGACCACCATTTGCCTCATGCAGTGCAACACATCGTCGCATGGAGTCTATCAGATTGTTAATTGTGGCCTGTGGAATGTTGGTCCACTCCACTTCAATGGCTGTGCGAGGTTGTTGGATATTCGTGGGAACTGGTACACGCTGTCGTATACGCCGGTCAAGCACATCCCGAACATGCTCAATGGGTGACATGTCCGGTGAGTATGCTGGCCATGCAAGAACTGGGACATTCTCAGCTGCCATCTGCCCTGAACAATGTGAACCACGATTCATCCGTGAAGCGCACACCTCTCCAACGTGCCAGACGCCATCGGATGTGAGCATTTGCCCACACAAGTCTGTTACGGCGACGAGCTGGAGTCAGGTCAAGACCCCGATGAGGACGACGGGCATGCAGTTGAGCGTCCCTGAGACGGTTTCTGACAGTTTGTGCAGAAATTGTTTGGTTGTGCAAACCAATTGTTCCAGCAGCTGTCTGGGTGGCTGGTCTCAGACGATCTTGGAGGTGAACCTGCTGGATGTGGAGGTCCTGGGCTGGTGTGGTTACACGAGGTCTGCGGTTGTGAGGCCGGTTGGATGTGCTGCCATATTCTCTGAAACGCCTGTGGAGACGGCTTATGGTTGAGAAATGAACATTCAATGCACGGGCGACAGATCTGGTTGACATTCCTGCTGTCAGCATGCCAATTGCACGCTCCCTCATTGCTTGTGGCATCTGTGGCATTTTGCTGTGAGACAAAACTGCACATTCCAGGGTGGCCTTTTGTTGTGGGCAGTCTGAGGTACACCTGTGCACTACTCATGATGTCAGATCAGCATCCTGATGTGGCACACCTGTGAGGTGGGATGGATTATCTCAATATGGCAGATGTGCCCACTACCACACATTTGGACTGATTTGTGACCACTGTTTGGGAGGGATGGTTATATTGTGTATCTGGAATGAATTTTAGGTCTCTACGTCCATCCCATGGGGAATGGGAGCAGTAACAAAGGTGTTGTGTTTATATTTTTGTTCAGTGTATTTTTTAATTTTTCTCTTTTGCTCATTTTCTACTTAATTGATTCAAGCTGATTGAATTAGAATTCAAGTTAAAACTGATGTAAAGGTTGTATTTTAATTTATTAATACTATTTTTTTTTAGATTAGATTAATATAGCACAAGGGTTTGTTTAGCTTTGCACAAAGCTTCTTACAAAGAGTTATTTTTTCCTTTCTTGCTTTGAGTACATTTCAGAGCCTGTACTTTTTCAGTTTTACGCGAGTAAATAAGTTGAAAACGTAGGCACCACAGAACACAGAACTGAAGTCTACCTTCCCCACCTGAGGAACAGGTATGGGTGCAGGGACAGTCTGGGTCCTGCCACTGTCACCCTAGGAACAGGGAAAGGAGGAGGAACTTGCCGGACACAGGCCTCTCCCACCCAAGAACAGGTACGGGTACAAGAGTGGACTGGACCTCGGCTGGCCTCATCCTAGGAGCTGGTATGGGTGGAGAAACCTGCTGGAGGCCAGTGACCCCCGTCTGAGGAACTGGTACGGGTGCTGAGGTTGACTGGGCCTCGGCTGGAAGTAGGCACAGGAGCATTTGATGGATGAACACTAGCTTTCCCTGCACCCGAGGAACTGGTACGGGTGCAGGGACAAGCTGAGTTGTAGCTTTTCTGGGTACTGGAACAGTCACCTTCACTTGGGGAACTGGAGTGGGCGCAGGGCAAGGCTGGGTCTAAACCACTCTGGGATCATGGACAAGGACAGGCTGGGTCCCAACCACCCTCACCCTCACCCGAGCAACAGGTACAGGTGCAGGGGAAGGCTGGGTTCAAGCCACCATGGGAGCAGGAACAGGTGAAGCAATAGACTTAGGGATGAAGGATGAAAAACACAAACAGTCTTAGATTATTCAGGTGGTGATACCTGGCAGTTTTTGAGGGGAAAGTGATGCAGACACACTCTTGTCGCAGGTTGTTGGTCTGCACGAGAAGAGCGGCAGTGGTGGAAGCCTTGTCTCTCTTTGGCTGAGGAAACAGGAAAACTAGGGAACTGAGCCTACGATTGCCCCAAACAGGAAACCTCTGAAACACTAGGAACTAAACAAGTGAACACTAATGAGTCAAATACACAGCTGCGGGGGATGAGGGAGATCATGACAACGAACACAAGAAAATGCACACAATATAAAGACACGAGTGAATCAGAGCAGAGAGGAAACACCTGAGGAACATGGCTGGACAATAACTAATGAGACAGGGGAACAAGCACTGAGATGTGACTTACAAACCAAAGAGAGAGCGAGGGACACACTGTAAATGTAAACAACCAGACATGACTACACATGGGGCGTGGAGCAGGGGGGGAAC